TTTCCAAATAGATGACTGTTTTGAAAAAAAAGAGTTTCACTGCTTCCAAGAGCTTGAAAACCACTGCTTGAGGTGGGTGGATGCACTGTGCTTTGAACGACTTAATCCAAGGAGGGATGATCAGAGAGAAATTCTCAGGCAGAATTTTTCATGGTTGTTTTGTTTTTAAAGGTTCTCACATTGTCATCATCTTCGTGTACTTTCCTCCCTCCAAGGGTTTACATTAGCACAGAGGTTACTGAGGCATGTATTGTCATTTTCAGTCGTAGCCGTGTTAAAAGATAGAGCTATCAACCTCCATTTTCCAGTCTTGGGAGGAAGCCAGTCTCTTCAGGAAAGAGCCTTGCCCACAGCTTCAGGCCTGGCAGCCTTCGAGAGGCCAGACTCTTCTAAACGATCTCTGATAGAAAGCTTTGAAATATCATTAACTTGAAAGTACACGCTTAGGTCAAAGGGTCCATTTTGCTTAAAAACTCCCAAATATTTTCTCCTCTCTCCCTGCAGTTAATTTTGGAGATTGATGTGAGTGGAAAGCCAATGACACGCTTTTATCCCTTTCTTTCCATTGCTTAAGTTCCCTTATCACCACCCCAGATATAAACCACACCCTCACGTTCTTAGCTACCATAGGAATGGAGGAGAAAGAAAGTAAAATGGTATGTGAATGACTCTCGTCCTTTTCCTCGCTTGGGAGCATAAAGAAACTCTTCTTCAAATACACACCTGGTCTTGAAAAAGCAGAGGAGAAATCTTTGATGCTTCCACATTTTCTTTAGGATAAATTTCCAACCCCTTTGTATGGCAGTCAAGGCCGAACCATGATCAGAACCCTGGGCAGAAACACTCCTCCCTCCAAGCCCTGTACTCCTGCCCCCAAATTGCCATCAGTCCTTTTTCTTTGCTCTGATGCCTCAGCCTGCAAAGTCTGCCACACACACACCTGCTTCTACCTGTTGCAAGCTGATGTGCTCTGAGGCTCAAATGTCACCTTCTTCCTTCTTCAGGAAGCTTTCTCCTTCTCAGTGCATTTTGCTTTTACTTCTGTTAGAACCCATTTACAGCTAGTGACATATAAGTCTGTCTCCCCCATTAGACAACAGGCTTCTTGAGAACAAAGACCTGATTTTCATTTCCTGCCCTGCAAACAGAGTATGTGTTCAATAAATGTGTGTTGGACTGAATCGCATCTTCTGCAGTTGGTGCTGTTCCGAGTCCCCAGGACGAGGATTTTGCATCATAATACCAGAGAGAAGCTCAGATCTGTGCACTGCAACGGGGAGTTGGTGAAGCTGATCCTGGTATTCCTTATACCTGGCTTACGAGCCTCTTGCCCAGTTGCCAGCATTCCCATCCGCCGAGATGGGAGACACAGTGCAAAGAAGAAAATGAAAGAGACAGACACCCCCCCTTCCCACAGACAATGCATTAAGAACACACCTCCATACCTACCTTTCCTTCACCAAGAGAATTTTTCCAAGGTGAACCTCATGGTCCATCCCCAAGTACTTTTTCAAAATACCTGTGGTCAGCTGAGGCAAATACTCATCCTCAAGCCACCCTTCTTAATATATTGAATTTTGCAAAGTTTTCAGAAATCTTTTTACCATACAGAGGGATAATTTTACTGGCTCCTGAAACACCAAATACCTCTTGGACAAAATGTTTCAGCCCAATTGAAGTGTCATACCCAGCACATAAAATAAAAGATGTCCTATATTGGTCTCAAATGATAAAACTAGGGGTTATATCAGTTTAAATAGTACATTAAAAATTCTTGCTGGAGAAAGTAGTAAACAGCCCTTCATGCCCAGATTCTAGTGGGTTATTTCGTGGTTAACAAAAGAAAGGAAATATAGTCTGTCCCTGTTGACACCAGGGCAAGGGAGGGCTCATTTCCCAAGTCCCTCTTCCTGTGAATGAGAAAACAAGGTATCAAATTTGACTCCATTTAAGATTCCACTCAATTTAAGCCTGGTTTCATCCATAGCAGGGAAAAAATATATTGACCTAATGGAGAGGGGAATTTCAAAGCATTTAGTGCACTGTTTGATACAGGCTTTTAAATATAAGTTCAATGAAAACTAAATAAAGTTCAATGAAGTTATTTTTCCATCTTGTTCTATAGATCTTTATGATTGGGAAATTTTTTTCCCCATAGTTAAGTGCTGAAGAATTCTTTGTTTTCATTGTTTTGCCTGGTTGGGGTATAATTGTGTTTTGCCTTGTTGAGATACAGTGTGTTTGTCTGAGGAGAGAGTAACAAACATATCCATCACCTTAAAAATTAAGAAAATAGTTCTGAATGTAAACTCATCTGCACTTGTTTTTAGGCTGTATATCTGAAAATGTAATGTTGTATATTTTTTACCACAAAAGGAGCACAGTTGTAGGTGCCCAAATGGGGGGGGAAAAGCATCTTAACAAGATTTCAGTATGGGCCTGATCTGAAATAGAAATTTAGTACAAGCACATCATTCCTATTTAAAGTAGCACTGGGGGCCTCAAACATCACGTTTTAGACATCAAGCGATTTTAAGAAATAAATGTGCATATGCATATCTTAAGCCAAAAGCCTAGTATTTTCTTTTGGAAAGGGGCTGGGGATAGAGGAGGGGAAGGAAATGGAAACATCACTGTGATACATATCAGCGCATGCATGATTTTTGGAGAGTAGAGACCCCACCTTCGCACACACGCGCGCACACACACACGATCTTAAACTAAGATTTCACATGCAGAAGCTCGACATCCATAGCGCTGTATTCTATTACTTATTTATATTATCTATACCAAGGGAAAATTGGAAATCTTGGTGTACTTAGTATTCCCCTGGGCACTATCTAGAAGCATCAGAAATTACCAAGCTTCCTGAAATAGAAAGTACTTTGACAAAATTGCTTGAATTCAGAAGAAAACAACCATCCCAAGGCCTAGTGACAATCAGCGTAGGAGAGCCATTAAGGGGGAAAGAATGCTAAGAACACAGAAAAACATAATGAGGGCATTAATCCTGGTCTCCCTCGGAAGCTGTGCCGCCGTCATCCAAGCGACTGCAGTTGAGTTTCTTGTACTCAGGTCTCCAGCTGGGCAGAAAGCTTCATGTCTGTGGTCCTCAGTTTTTCTGATGTGGGTCAACGACCGGCACTCTGTCTCCTCCCAACACTTTCACCTCCTCCACTCCATGCTCCCAATGCCATTAGTTTAACTTTTGAAACCTACACTGAAAAGTCCATTGCAAAATTGCACGCATATGTTCGTGGTTTATCTAGCTATCGGTATACCTTAATTGAAAAGCAAAGCAAATTTAGACAAACATTGCACAGAAGAAAATAGTTTATTTGAAAAGAGGTTATAAAGCAGGTGTCGGTTTGTATAGCGCATGGAATTTGGATATTAAGGTGGAAGGAAAGGCTGTAGGAGGCTGAAGGGTTAATCAGGATGAAATAGTTTCCATCAATAGGAATAGGGAAAAAAAAAATAGGAATAGGAAAATCTTTTGACAATGCATAAGTGATTTCCCAGTAATGTGGTCGGTGTTCTCACAGTCAATAATTTCCACCAGTGACCGATAATGATCATTTAAAAGCATTAGCTCATGTGAGCAATGCACCTTGCAGTTCAGATCATGGCTTGACAGGAAACTGAAGCTCTCCGTTCTAGTCCTTGAATTTCAGGGCAGGGGGGTGAGCAGAGGCCCTTTCAACCTCAGGGACTGTAAGTGGCTCTGTGTACATTTTCTAAGGGGAAGCATTAGTATCTGGGCCCATGTTTTGCCAGCACAGTTCATTTTAGAGGGCAGCAGTAGAGGAAGGAATCAGGAAGAATTCTCTGTAGGAAAGACATGAGTGACTGTTATCCCCTTGTTTGTGCGTAGCTGCTACAAAACCACCAAACATTATGTTCAGCTCAAGCCTTTTGAGGTCGTGTTTTGTTTTGTTTTTTCCTCTCCTGCATTCATTTGGACCTCTTGGAAGTGAAATTAATTACAGCGTTGATCCCAGGCATCTAAAGTCAAGATCTTGCCACCATGCCTAGAAATATGATCTAAAATAATATAATCTCTTATAATGAATTTTTTCAAGGTCTAGAGCTGTGCTTCTAAAATTTAAAGCACACTCAAAAAATCCTAGCACTCTTTTAAAAGTGCATTTTTTGATTCAGTAGGTCTGGGGTGAGAGCTGAGCGTTTGCACTTGCAGTCCGCTCCCAGGTGATGTGGATGCTCTGGTCGGAGGACACACTTTGAGTAGCAAAGCTCTAGAAAACATCGAAGATCAGTTCACATGTTAGGAAAACAGCAGGTATTTTAAGCCGGCACAAGCCATCCAGATAGCGGTGGTACAGCTCCTTCTGGAAAGGGTCTGGACTACAAGTCTATGTGCTGAGCACTTCTTTAGGGAGGGTGCAAAATAAATTCATCACCACTGGGGACCAAGTTTCAAGAGGACATGATTTATCACTTGTCTCTATATAGTACTTATGAGAGAATCACTTATGCCAAGAAAAGATATAGGGGCTGGAGGAGGGGAATGATCTTTAGTACTTTCTTAGTACTAATCCTTGCTGCTGTTATATGGCTGGAGAATTTCCATCTTTTTGAGGTTTTGAGGTGCCCTTCACCAAAAATAATAATATATTATTAATGTATATGCATATGCATATATATGTATGTATGTGGTCAATGTATTATTGGTGTATGTAAATTAATTTGAATATGTTTATACATTACATAGTTAATAGTGAGGGTTCAGTCATTTTAACTATATATTTAAGACCACCCTGTTAAAATTAAAGTCAAAAGGTGTTAGTAATTAGGCTTATAGTTTTATGTACTTTACTAAGTCTTGTACTCTCTAAGTTTTCATTGGAAATTCCCTGGAGGTCCAGTGGTTAGGACTCAGCGCTTTCACTGCGGTGGCCTGGGTTCAATCCCTGGTCGGGGAACTAAGATCCTGCAAGCTGCATGGCACGGCCAAATAAATTAATAAATTTTTATAGCTGCATCCATGTTAGCTCTTGATTATAGACTGCTAAGTGGGCTAGGATGCTAACCTAGGTAAGAGACTGAAATCACTGAAATTCATGGTAGGCCCCCTTCTTCAACCTGAGCAGACCCATGTTTACCTTCTAACTGTATGTGGTTTCCACAGAAGATTTCGGTTGAAAAGCACTCATATGAACTATTAATGTTTCCGTCTGTGGACAACATTCCAAGGACAAGGGAGATCTCTGCTAGAGAGAAGCCCTTCCCAAAAGCAAGTGTGGCTCGGGAGATACAACTTCCGTCAAACTGTCTGACAAAGGCACAAGACATTCTCTTGGGAACTGAGGTGGAAGATGAGGGTGGATGGAGTTAAAGGGGTGTTTGGATATGGGTCATGGGTTGCAGGGAAAATATTCGCTTTAAGGAAGCAGGGCTACTACAGTGAGACACCTTGATGCTACAAGTCTACCACGAATTGAATTTTTTTTAATTTGTGGAGAGGGAGGGTAGACAAGTGAATGTGAGCATGTCGGCAAAGGTTCAGATGCCAAAGCTGTCTTGAACAGCACTTTTGCTTTAGAACTCTGTTCTTAACAGCATTGAGGTTGGTCAGGAGTTCACACTGGAAGAAGTACTGACGGGTACATTTGCTGCTCCCTGTCTAAGCATGTCAGGCTATAAGACTGTGCTGCTCAACAGAGCCTTGGCCTTCGAATTCTTCTTTGGCCCATTTCTCCTGCGCACAGTAACTTTTAAAAAATACTGGATATAAGTTTTAGTTTGTGGCAGTAGTAATTCGATAACGAGGAGTGTGTGTTTGTGCGTGCACTTCTGTTTATCTGCTTCTTGCATCAAAACATCCTCCAGCTGTGGGCCTTTTCCTTCTCTGTATGTAAAGCCAGTAAACAAAACCAAAAGCCATGGGAAAAGGGTAAAGAGAGCAGCAGAAAGGAACGTCCTCTTTTGTGAAAAAGCCTGCCACCGGCTTTTAAAGAAAAGTTGATGGATCTTCTTCTCTTGCCTATATTAATAGAACAAAGCAGCGATCCTGGAGCAGAAATGAATTTGGAAATGTGTTGGAAATGAATTTCATTCTTGTGTTGGGGTTTCTCCCTGAAGATGAGACTTTTACATCTGATTTTAAGGAACGATTGGTTATGGGGAAAAGGAAAAAAAGGCAAGCATCTGTCTTCCAGGTTAACTTTTAAATTATACTGTTTGGTTTTGGCACGGAAGACCCGGCTTTTAACTCACCAGTGAAGTCTGCAAGGCTGGGCTTTACATCTATTTTTATCCCATACACTCTACCGCTGGTTCAGTAAAAGGTTGCTGGATTCCTTACAGAACTCCTATCCACATTCAGTCCTGAAGTGGGGAGTTGGGGAGTTGAATCAGCTTTTGCTCGACTTGGGGTAGAAAAGGTGCTGGGGAGAGGAATCCAGGCAGGATCATTCAGGGTAAGGTGACGGCAGACGTGGTAAGACTGGACTCAACGAGCTGAGTGTCAGGGCAGAGTTAGTCTCGGAGAACAGCAGCTGCCCCCGTGCTGGAGCGCAGGACAGACCAGGGAGGCCAGGTGGGGCGGTGTCTCTGAGATAGAGGGGGGCAAGGTTACGTACAGCCGGACACAGACTCTTAGCTGGCTCTCCATGTCAGCATGAGCGGTAACCAGGGTCCTGGGCAACTGCACGTCAGCCTATCAGAATTCATGGGAGGTTATTTCTTAAGTGAAATTCTAAAGAGTTAAAGGATGAATTTGGACAGTGATGGAATGGATGACATCATCAGTCAAGAATCCCCATTGGATATGGAGGGGGATTATAAAAAGGTAAGGGGGGAGAGCTCTTTTGTTTGTAAACAATCGGACCATTTTTCTAACTGGGAGAAAGATCACCCTTGAGGAGTGGCCAAATTCCACACTCAGTGGCCATTGCCATAATCTATTCAGGAAGGCTAAATGCTCAGAATCGAATGCATTAAGCTGGGAGAGTTCTTCTTTCTGTGTTTCCCAGTTTGTATTCATTAATATATTATAGCAGTAACTGGAATACACATGTTGTTTTTCTGAAGTTGAAAAACATTCTGTTATGCATATAGTTTCTAGGCAGGCTTTTTATGTGAAGGAATAATTTTTTAAATTACTGCCATGTTGACAGTTCACCTGCAAGAAATAATTACTAGCATGTGTAATCTATCTTTCTGAGTTTGGCTTTTTTAAACAATGAAAAATATAAAGTTTTACTAAGAGAAGTGTGAGGTTTTAAAAAAAAAACTGATACAGTATCTGCTAATTCTTTGCTTGCCTTTTCTTTTGAAAGTCAGTACATATATTTTTGGTATGCTTTTTATGGTAATTGTCTGGTAATAACAGCCCCAAGTAAAAATAGCTTTAGTTATATGGGTGAGGTAATGAAATTAAACTACAAGCATATGCTTGTCTGTCCACAGAAGGCTAAACACTATGTCCTTCCCCCTTATTATTTCCCATAAGTCAAGTGTAGGTCACAACACAGCCCAGTATGAAGAATCAGGGACCTTCCATCATGGACCTGGAAAGAAAGACCTGTTTTCCCTCAAAGGCAAATATCCTAAAACAGTAAAACTTGCTCCTAAATTTTTAATTTGATCAAATACGTCACTAACTTTTTTCCCCTAGATTGAGATAGAAGCTTCTGTCTTGATAGATCTTTACGTATAATAATGTAAAATACGGCAATTTAAATCTTACATACATAACTGTGTGTAAGTATGAGGCCTGTTTTAAGGACATACTTTATTTCTTAGAGCAGTTCACAATAGTTTATGTTATTTCTCCAGGAGCTGAAACTTAAATAGGTTTAAATGACCTGCCTTGTTGATCTGTGTGTTTTTTGTCCTTTTTGTCCTGTGTGTTTTGTGATCCCCAAGAAGGAAGTGAGGGCCCAAGGGGATAAGTGCTCATAGAGTCTTGAAACCCTGACACCTCTCCGATGTCCCCTCCTGCCGGAAGTGGGTGTGCAAAAGATACTTGGGACACTCAGCAATCAGAGTCGGGCACTTACCCAACCCAGTAGAACAAGTGCACAGTTCTCATATTGCCTCTATTTTCAGTGCCAAAGGACTAGTCACGGTTTTCTTTGTCACAGCGTTTCTCAGCTAGGAAAGTGTAGGTCAGTTTGCACTTAGGAAAATGAAAGACATACCACTGCTAATGCAATAACAATAAAGTAATGACCATTGTAGTTTCATCCTACTTAGAAACAGAGAGCCCAGATGCCTGGAATGACCGAGCCATGGTATGCAGGCAACCTGATACAGCGTTGACTAAAGTGACAAACATGTAAGGCTCAAGTAGCTTTAAAACATCAACAACAACAAAACAGAGTTGAATTGTATAACCCTTAATCTCACTCAGGCAGTAGAACACCACATGTGAGTTCAAGAGAAATAGTATCTGAGAGGTTAGTACAAAAGACCACTAGATGAAACTTTTAGATGTGGAGGATGCCCAGAGATCAGTATATATTGTTGTGGACCCTAAACATGGAAGTCGTTCTGTTGTCATTTCAGCTTTTAACTATTTTTCTCAGGCAAAGTGCTTTCAAATGTATGCATATCATGATAACTACAAAGGCTTCCTTTTTAAAAAACCACTATTGATCATTTCATTAAGAACTTCTAGTGAAACAGGGCAACATGTGCTTTCTTTAAAATACAAAGGATAGAAAATAATTAGCTAATATAAAAATCACTTTTCCTAATTAGAATCTTTCTTTTCTAAGTTTTTTTCCTCTGTTTGGTTTTTGCTGTTTGGCTGACTAACTAGAAAATTAAATTAGATGCCATAAAGCAGTGGTCTGTAGGCTTTTTTCACCTTGTATTCATCAGTAAAATGTTTTTGAGCCCAAGCCTTTAATATACATGTATTCTATTCATATATTACACACATATACCACTGTAAAAGTACATCTTTTATGTATAAAACATATACAGTCGTCCCTTGGTATCCACAGGGGATTGGTTCCAGGATCTCCACAGATACCAAAATCCCAGGATACTCAAGTCCCTTTTATGAAATGGCACGGTATTTGCATATAACTCACACACATCCTCCTGTACACTTTAAATCATCTTTAGATTACTTATAGTACCTAATACAGTGTAAATGCTATGCTACGTAAATAGTTGCTGGGTACATGGCAAATTCATGTCTTGCTTTTTGGAACTTTCTGGCATTTTCCCAAATATTTTTGATCTCTGGTTGGTTAAATCTGCAGGTGCAGAACCCAGAGACATGGAGGGCTGACTATATACAAATAGATATTTTTAAGAATAAGATGTTTAAAACGTAAATAAAAATACAAGTTTTAATAATTTCTTCTTTCATCTCCTGTCACTCTGAGGTCAGTTGTCCAAAACACTTGGAAAATCGGTATATCCCTGCCTGGGTACAGTAGAATTTTTTATACCAGTTGCACTGATAAATACCGCATGTATATAGGGATTATTTTACAAGCTTGTTTCAAAGTCAGGCAAACAGCCTTCAGGGGAAAGGTCACTTTATGATGACTAAAATTAGATTCCACCCAGGCAAAGGAAGGAAAAGAGTACACATCTGTTCCAGTTCCTTAGGGAAGGTCCTGATGTTTCATTAAGGACCTCTGGTTTGTTCAGTAACAGTAGTAAGACTGTTCTCAACAGAAAGCACATCTTAGTGTCTAGGAAGGAAAGCCTGCACCTTGGCAGAATCCTAGGTGTGAAAGTCCGGTCTATCACGGCCCTGCCTTTCTCTGAGCAGCCTCTGACCCGCTGGGTCCCACAGCCCACTGTCTTGAGGACACAGAGGCACATAGCCTGCCAGTCGATGTCCTGATCCCGTCAGCCGTTACTCACCAAGAGCCTTCCTGTGTCCCTGGCATTGTGTGCGGGGCCAGGATCCCGAAAGGGAGGCTGGGCTTTCCCTCAAGGAGCTCACAGCCCAAATGGGGAGGCGTACAAACAAATAAGCTGCCGTGGAATTGATGCCACCTGGAAGGATGTGGACCTTCAGATGGTCAGTGTGGACCTAGAAAACGCACAGCCTGCACCATCTCAGGGCTGGGGATAGATCCAAATTATACCCGTGGAGAGAGAGAGGAAATCAAGAAAATGTAACGTGAAGCACGGTAGAGGACTGGCTCCCACTTTGTCCCAGAGCAGAGCAAACACCGGCAGGCTGGCCTTACCTTCTGTCCCCAGGCCACTCCTGGCAGAAGGAGCTGCGGGCAGGGCCGTGTGTGGTCGGAGGATGGGCAAGCCGACTTTGCCTGGCTTTGTTTCTCCGGGGTGCTGTCTCTAGTGTGGTGCATCCAATTATGGTGAAAGATTAGGGAGGAGCCCGTGAACAAATTAAAAGGCTGGAAGGAACAATATTTAAAGTGAAGCCACAGCTGCGCCTCATGTTTTTTTAAAAAGGTGAATGGAAATGACTGCTTGAGATAAACTGTAATAAACAGGAACGCAGAATGCCAGCTGCCATTCCAGACAAGAGCTCTGCCCTCCCCACACAATTACTGAGGAAAAGCAGCCGTCGACCTCCATGAACCCTCCCGTCTTCCTGTCTGGAAGGGCTGAATATGCTTGAGGAACCCCGTTAAGTTACTGAACCCTGGAGCCCAGCCCTACCTCAGCCCCCCGGGACAGTCTCTTCCACTTTCTGGGCCAGGGTCTCCTTTTCTTTCAAGGGAGGAACGGGCCCGGTTGGTTTTAGGTCTTGTAAATATGAAGGCTCGTAACTCCTAGTTCAGGCTTCTTTGCATCGTATCACCCTGTTGGCGCACCTCGGTAAGCCAGCGTGGTAGGGAGTGGGTTCTTTCAGATAACGAGATTTTCCAGATACATAGTATGTGAATTATACCTCAATTTAAAAAATAAACACACACACATTTTGGGCGGAGGGTACGGTTTATTTTTTAATTGAGATATAATTCACATACCATAAGATTCACATGTCCAAGTATATAGTTTGATGGTTTTTAGTATTTCATAAGGTTCTACAAACCACTAGTATCTAATTCCAGAATATTTGCGTCAGCACCCCCCAGGAAAAGCCTGTCCCCGTTAGCAGTTACTCCTAATTCCCACCTCCCCACCACAATCATCAGTGTACTCTCTGTCTTTTCTGGATTTGTCTGTTCTGGACATTTCTGGATCTCTTTTATCCTTTTCTCCACTCTTCTCAGGAGGTTACCCCGCCCCTACCTTTAATATTAGCAACAAGACCATTTAATGAATTTCTCTCTGGATCAGACACTGTGCCAAGTACTTTCTATGTAGTATTTCGTTTAATCCTTTTTATTATTATTATTATTTTAATTTATTTATTTTTTATGGTACGCAGGCCTCTCACTGTGTCAGTAGTGAAGAGGTTAACTTGGGTCTTCTTGGTCCCGATTGCCCTGTGCCGGGCTCCTGCTCTCCCTCCCTCCTGGTCACACACCTGTGTTCGGCTACCCCAGATCCTCAGCCCACCTTGATATGGGAGGCGGGGGACACCAGCTTCCTGGTGGTTGATTGTGGTTTGGCTGTTGCATAACCTTGCAGTAGGTGTTTTGGACTGTTGTGTTCTGACAGTGATACTGAATGACTGAGGTGGTTTTACAGACTTGTAAAATGGCACCTGTTAAAAATAGAGTCCCCAGATAACACTGTCCTATGTTAAAAGTAGTCTCTGAAGGCAATCATTTGAGAACCCGGGAGAGCTCAAGATGCACCCAGCAGTTCATGTTTTGGATATGCTGCTCAGAGGTGAGGAAAATTTTCAACTGTGTCCCTTTAGGATTTGACATTGAAACACTCCCACTACATAAG